CCTTGTGTTCTCACTAACACTCATGCCACTAACACTGGTGAGCCAGCCAGGGTGGCTGACTTCAGCCAAAAAACTATTCCCTTTTTTTTTTTGGTAAGGTTACTCCTTGCTGGATTGTCTCATTGAACTTTGCAGCTGCACAAGAAATTCAGTTCAGCCTAAACAGAACTGGACCTGCACTTCCTTCATATCACATCTGAGAACATTTTGCAGTGCATAAAGAAATGCACAATAGTACTTACTTCCCTCTTAACTGAGGTGGGGACATGCTAAATCAGTAAGTGCTAATTAATGAGGGGGTCATAACCCATTTTACTCCCACTCAAGTAAAACTTCACCTCAGACATGCAGAAATACCTCTTGATTCTACGCTACTCATTAGACAGCAATTTGTATTCAATAGTTTACATACAGTAAATAAAAGCTATTGATTGTATTACTATCTGCCATATCATAAACTGAGTATGGATAGAGGTTCCCAATAAGCAGAAACATCACACTGTGAGGATAAGGCAGAAGATGAAATACAATGATTCCAAGTGACTATTCCTTCTCTCATGATTTTAGGCCTTTACAGAACTACTCCCATGATTTTATTCTTCTAAGCATTTTACAACCAGACATTAATATTCAGCTTTGTATAGTGTACTTTTCAAACAGAGCATCTGTTTTTCACCTCCATCAACCTACTCTCTTACCCAAGAATATCTATTTTTCACAACCATATTCTAAGGTTGCACTGTTTCTCATAAATATTTTAGGTTTTGCTCTTTTTGATACAGATAGGGTGCAAAGTCATGCAGGCAATGGCTCCCTTATCTCCCATACACAGCCCATAAGCAGACAAGTTTTCTTTAGCCTAACATAAATAATGTAATTGTGTCTAAATGCATGTTTGTTCTCTTCTCAGGAAATAGACTGTTTCCTTACAACTTCAGTTATGAAATACAAAACGTATTATTAGGCTTTCACAGTACTCAAGCTGAGGTCCATTACATGTTTTTTATTGGAAGAAGCTACACTTCTATTTCACAATAAATTATAACAACTTTGGGTGTTATCATTGGCATCACTCATGCCCTTTATGTTACTGAAGGGAGAAAAGCAAACCGAGACAAAATTCTTTATTTACATTTCTATGCTTTTTAGAGAAACAGCACTTACTAAAAAAAAAATTAAAAAAAAAAATCTATCAGGGTTTTTTTAACTTAAATACTATTTGCCACATTCAACACTTCACTGTTTTTTAATTGTTCTATTTAAATGACCAGGTCTACCAGGTGACAATAACACCTCTCAGAGATACCATAAGCCTAAAAAAAAAATTCAGAACAGCTTTTTCTCTACTGTAAAATGCAAAAGCTACAACTAAGTTCACTTTTAACACGCTGCATGTAAAAATAGTTCAAATTATCCTTGCCAGGCAGAGCTTGCCATCTAAACAGACAAGACAGAAGAAGTATTATCTTCATACCTAAAAGGCACAAAAATATTAAGTGTAGGTAACACAGACAAATTACAGTGGCAATTTGTCAAAGGTGTTCTGTTGCTTACATAGACTAGTGACAGAGTAAGAAAGCAAACAGGAGCTTCCAATTTCCCAGTCCCTATCCCACCCATAGTCCCCATGTCAAACTTTTAGATAGAAAAGCATCCACTTGTTCTTGAATAGCAGGAGAATCTTTTCCACAATTCAATGCTGCTTCTTTTATCATCAAGTCCTATGAATTACAGTGACCTTCTCTACTCTGTGTCACACTTGCCATGCAAGGGAAAAAAAGATTACAAATCATCCGTCTGCAAATGTAGTTTCAAATTACACAGTTTTGAAAGAGATTCATGTAGCGTTCTGTCTAGCACTGTGGAATTTGTAGTACTGTGCAATCTGCCTAAATCAAAGGGGAAATAAAGATCCATTTCTACTCAGATATTCCTTTATGCTGCCAATAGTCCTGCAGGACAATGGAGTGCTCTTACTGAAATAAATTGTGGCCTGTTTTTACCATTACCAAAGGTCCTGTGTGCAATACAGTCTCAGGTTTTGGATATGGCATACACCAAAAATCAACCCCAGAATACTGTTATATAAAAAATATTTGCAAATCCAGATCACTTATTGTTGTCATTTTTAGAATGTTCTGAAACCTTGTCTTCAGTGCCCTGGTATCAAACTTCAACATAAGGTTTATCTCAATCTCACATGTCAAGAAAAACTGAAGAATGCATGTGAAAGTTTTATGACATTTCCATACAGGAATCTCTTCATTTCAGCCAGTTTTTATCTGCTTGTCAAAGCCGCACATCACAAACTCGTTCTCTACATACAAGTATTTTTTTATCCACTGCAACCCAGAAAAAGAGAAGAGAACTTGCTGACTCTTTATTTCATAGCCAGATTTTGCAATACTGTAAATTCCTGTTTGCCTACCATATAATGGCATTTTCTGGTTTCATTACTTTAGAATATCTTTTCTTGAAATCTGCAATGTATTTTTCAAAGCACACTTTCTGTATTTTCTGCTATTCAATTTTTTAATTGCACACGATGGTTCAAATTTACAGTTTGGAAATGTTGTTTTCCAGATTAAAAAAAAGTTTACCTATTCAGATTCAGCAGTTTCCTAATTACAACTTCCATGGAGATTTTTATTCCTTATTTCCTTTCTTTCATCAGCATTTTACAGTTCTAAGTCCATTCTTCCCCCACCAATGCTACAGTCTTGCTATAAAATTGGTCACATTTTATGTCGTATTCTTTAAATTGGGCCTGTACTGCACAAGTTTTAGGCTTCCTATTTGTCCGTAAATTTTTCTCTAAATGTATTTTAGGTGTACAAGTACCAAAATCAGTCACTTTTCTTCTTGCAGTAGAAATCAATGATTCTTTCAAGCTAATTCCAATATTTCCTTAGAGATTATCCCAAAGGAGAAAAAGAAATTACTCCTAAGAGCAAGATGATATAGTATCACAGTTTACAAATCACTTCCCCTGGAAGGGTCCAAATTCACCGATTAGATCAGGTATTCAAGTTAAGGTTCTCTCTGTTGCTTTATGTAAAATGTAAAATCCTTAATTCGTAATTATTTCCCTCAGAGGAACACAGTACAAACACAAGTAATTCACTGCTTATAAAGCTTTTAACAGTTTTGAGTTTAAAGGGGATTTTAGAAATATAAAGCAATTTTTTCAGTTTATCCAATCCAAACAAACTTATTTCAGAAGTTATGTATCAAGGTAGCCCTGTGAAATGGAAGAACAGTATTCGCTGATTTTTAAGAGACTTAGAAGGTGGCTAAAGGTCTGTTCTATGCAGGAAATTACACTAAAGCTTAGGGATTTTTTTTTCTGGCTATATAATGCATGTATCTGAGATTTGGGGGCTACACAGGGACATCTTTTATTCCTTATTCAACTGCTGGAACTAACGACAGTACAGGAATATCACCGAATCACTTCTGATGTCTAAACCACAAAGTCTCTGTTATTTGGACTCACAGCTGCTTTTCTGAATGAATTGCGATGACAAATTCTGTTATTGCCAAAGTCAGTGTTCTCAAGCAGAACCAACAACGTTGCAGCCCTGACAGAACATACAATGACCATTCATTTTTATTTAAGCTGCACGACTTTTTGTAGGGTACCACAAACAGAGAATGACACCTCTTTATAGCTAACAATTATGCGTCATTCCTAGAGGTTGGCAGGTGAGGAATGCTTTGCTAAAGAAGTTACATCCATGCTATGGTAATTCACTTTTGTGAAGCCTTGACTCGCTTTGATGACACCAGTTTCTATGTTGGAGCCAGCCTGCATTAAGCTTAGCTTATCTTTGGGCCAGCTATCACCCACCCACTGCACACATATTCTGACTCATTCACACCATCATGCATCATGAAAATGTACTCCAACAATGTGACTAAATTTTAAACCATAACAATTATATAAGAGGGACCTGGACCAAATTAAATCCTGGCTTAGGTGGTGGTATTGCAATGTTCTTGCTGCACAGTGGTCTCAGAGATGTTGTGCACTGCTGAGGTCTGAGTGCATCATTTCTCTGTGAGTAATGAGAACAAGGTATGCAATAAGTTAGCTGAAATACCACCCCTATTTTTCCAGCAAAAAATAAAGCACCCCACTCAAAGCCATGCCATTAGTTTTTGCCTTGACAGAGTCACTGAACATCAGTCTTAGTGAGGTTTACAGCAACAGAGCAAAGGCAAAGAACATTTCTCTAAGAGACTATGTCTATTTTTGATCTCAAAGCAGTTCCCAGTGTTTATGAAAACATAAGAAAAGCTTCTTATGTCTGAGAAGCTATTCAAATTTGAGAATCCTGAAGCATTATGAGCTCCTAGGTCTAGATACATACCACACATTTATTCTCACTCCCTAATGGGGCAAAAATCCTCAGGAAAAACAGATGTATTGACAGGACAGGGTTTATGTCATACTTTTACAGATCGTTAATCTGAATGGTTACAAGACCAAGAATCCATGGCAGGATCCAGGTCAAGAAGTCAGCGTATACCTAGGCAGAAATTAATTCAGTTTGGCTCAATCTATTACTACCGCAAAAAATCAAGTCCCTTCTATTGCAAACAGTGATCCCTTTCCGTAGGGAAAAACATCCTCAGCGCTCTGCAGTTTAAGTTCCACCAGTTTTCCCCACACTTAAGTCCATACCAAAACCTGTACTGACTGAAGGATGTGTCCTCATTGGTATAATTGAGCAGAAAAGCAGCAAACTCCTTTCATAAAAAGGACTCTCAACTGTTCAATGGCTTATCCCTAGAAAAGTGTATGGTATTGACATTAAGCTAATCACTATCTGTCTCCTTATACACATTTACATATTATAAGCTTATCTTGAGTCCAATCCTACACTCATTCATTCATGCAAAATTACTGGCTTTACTTGGTTTCCTCACAAGTCAGAAGAAAGACTTAGTCCCTTCCATACAAATCATGAAGGAAAAATTTAATACAATTTACTTACCGAAGGATTTCTTTCCGAGTGAAGAACGTGCAATCCTGTTAAAAAACAGATGTGTTATTGTACTACAGAAATATTGAAAACAGCTGCAAAGAATTATTTTTCAACCTTTTGGAAGGAAACTCAGATCTGGCAGAAAAACATTAAAGATGCCATTTGTGTACCATCTGCTTTTGACTCAGAAAGCAATATACGCTATAGAATAACTGAAATATCATAAGGACAGGGCTAACAGTAAAAAAAAAAAAAATATTGTTAATGTGAAATTTCAGGAGAAAAAAACCCAGCTTGCTGAAATACTTCTCCACTGTGGCATGACCAGAGCAGAAACAAAATTAAATCAAAAAAGTAAGGTATAGGCCAAAAACATTCAATAAATGGATTTAGAAAGCTGTAAATAACAAACAGATGAAGAAAACTATCTTCTAACTTGGAGTATTCCTCTATTAGAGACAACTGATTTAATAATAAGAGTCATGTACTTATTTATTCATTATTCACTCTTTTTGCTAACAATTACTTTGCATTGTGGTCACTTCGGCAAAGCCTGCAAACTCCTGCATGTTAGGAACATGGATAAAAGGACAGTCCCTGCTCCAAACAGCAGGCAAACTATTCAGCTTTCCCTGTGGTATCACAGAATTTGAAATAACTTACTAGAATGTAAAGTAGAGCTGGCTGAACATGGAAGAAGAGCTTACAAGCATTCGCTTGCATTCTGAATGGCTCTGTGGTGGGACTGCATTTACACTGGTTTAATTCACTCTTCATGAACATCTGTGTTTTGCTAGAAGAATTCACACACTTCACAAAAGAACCATAATATGAGCAGTGAAATAGTTTGCATTTCATGTATTTCTACATCAGTCACAAAACAAGTTATATTTTCAGGTGCTGTGAGGAACCATAATAATCAGTCCCATCCCATTAACAGAAATATCCCCTAATCCCCACTATATTATCTAGTATGCAGGGCAAATTCTGCCCTGCATCCAAAACTAGGAACACTGGTGGCAATGAAATATTGGATGATCCGTTTAGAACACTGTTCAGGTCATAAATTCAGAGAATATGCATCTTCTTATGTTACAGCTAGTGACTGATGAGGGTGTATATATAAGGAACAACCAAACCACAAAATTCTTCCTGATTATCCGCCTCTCTCACAGGCCCATGTGATGTGGCAAGGTATTTGCCTAAGAATTCAACTCTTAGTGGTATTCCTCCTTTAATGTAAACATATTTAAAATATATCATATTTTTAAATATGATAACAACATCAGACTTGGTAAGTCATACTTAAGAGTACATACAACTAGTATGACTCCCCCAGTCCTGCTCTTCAGTCAACTAGTGAAAAAGCATTTCCTTCCTAAGCTGAGACTTATTCTGGCTAAATGCCTGCTTCTTCCAAGGAGGGGAAAAGCAAATGATCACAGCTAACTGAAGCAGTCAAACAGCTTGTCCAGGTATCCAGGTATGCTATCAGTCCTGCATGGTATCAATTATTGAGTTTGCTTGCTCTCCTCCATATAAAGTGGCAGGAGAAGCAGCTCTTCCTTTAGTGTATTGTGTGGCAGAATAGTGTTACAAGGCACAATAGGAAGCACCTTGTGAGCTGCTGACACTGATGTCACATTGTCTGGAACTGCACAAAGTGAAATAGGAGCCAGCTGGTTAAGTCTTCATTAATTCCAGCACATTCAACACTTATGGTCAAACTGTCACTTAAGGATGCTTCATTTACTAACGAAAGGCAGGTGCAATCTCACAAATAACTGTAACCCTCAGCAGCAATCATCCTGTAATTATATAGGCTTGAGAAAACAACAGACACTGTTACTTAACTAGAAAGCTGTCAGGGGATTGATATGCAAATGGAGATAAAGATGAAAAAGAAAAGTTACCCTTTACCTTCCAGAAATCATGCAAAAACACCATTGGAAGACACATTAAGAGGTCAGATCATAAACCTTTTTCGCTGAAGGGCCACCTACTTTTTTTTTTTTTTAATCTGAGCCACCTCACATCTTTGACAACAAACACTATTGTCTGCCTTTTTTTTTGTTTTTAATCAAACAAAATTTTTACTAATATAATCTAAAAAACACTGATACTGGAAACCTTTATAACAAAAGTAGTTTCAAGTATCTTCCTGACCACTGTTACTGACTGACTGCAGTATTCAATTATGCCTGCCAATTACATGGAATTGTGTGTCAGGGATGAGGGGTGTCAAAAAAATTTACAGTGGTTTCACAGAACACTTGCAGAGATCTTAAAGATACTCAGGGTCAGAGCATCACAAATTAATTGTGAGCTGGCCTATACTTTTGATCCACAGCAAGATCATACACACCACTTAAGAAATGCTTTACCATTAAGAAGCCTGTCCGGTCTCAAATGGCAAATGTAAAAGCCATGGCTCCAAGCTATCTCTGAAAGGGAAGTCTAGCCATCTCTTTTCTCTCAACTTCTTATTTCTGCCTCTTCCTTTATGCGGACTTCACACCGATGAGTAGTATAACTGCATCAGAGACCTCTGAAGGAAGGAACTAATGTGTTTGGAAACTAACCTAGCAAAAATGGATGCACTTCCAGCTTGGATCATTTCCTTTTAGTGGCTTAGAATATAGCGTCAGTAGTGCTGGTACAAGAGATGAAGCTAAAACAAGTATCTATTGATGGTAGGAAAGAGGTGCAGGACTGCCCTTTTTTTTTTTTTTGAAAGCACAGCCCTAAGTTAGATTAAAGTCACAATGGAACAAGGGTCTAAATAACGTAATTACATTTTCTAGTTGCTGGAGCTCCAGCAATTTAATTCCAATTTAATTAAAGACTTTTGGCCAAAGAAACACTGAGGTGAATCATCCCATTTTCTTCTGGCTATTTCAGTCATACAGAAAATACACAATGATGAACAATAAATAGTAAACTAACATGTTAAATTAACTCCCTCATAAGGAAAGGTAAAGTGGGTCCTGAAAAGCATTTGTGATTTATGCGTGATGGCATTCATCTTCCTTCAAGCCAGAGATACCATGGAACACATTTGCTATTATGTGGACTGTATTTGAGTTTATTATGAACTTAAAAAGCAACCTGTCTATTCTGTCTGGACGCTAAAGCCACCGGGAGTCCTGCTAGAAAAGCACAAACTAAATACTGAAATAAATGTTACCAGAGTTTTCATAATTCTTATCAGTTCAGGATTTCTGGTAAGAATTTATCCTGAGAATTGCTGCTTTTATTTCTAATGTTATAAAATGGCCTGAAAAACTTCTGCTAACAGGAGGCCCCTTGTGGGTCTTAGGTTATCTAGAACAGAGGCTTTGCCTTGAAAGGTCACCTACTCCAGCCCCTGAGAAAATATGTGCTCCTTTTCTAAGATAAACTGTCCCACTAGGTCTGTCCTTGTGCCCTTAATAATCAAGTTAATTAGAAGTCTGACAAAGGATCACTGCTGGTTTTTTGGACGTAAGATACCACTTACGTGGATAACTGCAGATTTGTTTAACTTCCTTATGTCTAGCAAAGTGAATAAAACAAAGCAAACAGAAAATTTCCCATTGATTTCAATGAGATCATTAGCTTGTATAATGGGACTTGGTTCTCAAATTTGGCATTTAGGTGGCTTAACTGGTTCTTAAAATATTTTACAGAGAAAAGAGTCAGATAGTTGGTGCATTTAGGTTCCATGGGTGGCTTTGCTCTTGGCTCGTAGTGTGACTTTCTGCAAGTCACTCAACATTGCTTGCAAAGTAGGATTAATGGTCTCTGCTTTTAAAATTTACTTTATAAAAGAGCAGAATGTACAGACTGTTAGAGTTTTATTCTTTGATTTCCTATGTCAGGTGAATGCAGGTTTAGGGCAAAACGGGAACAGACTGAAACATGGTAGTCCAGTACCTTTTCCACTAGTCTGCAACACTTTACTGCAAACTCCTAGAGTGGTTCTGCTTAATGTTTAGTTCTACAGGGATTTGAACGAAAAATAGGAATGGAGATAACTGTGCTGAGAATGCTGATACTTAACTTTACGTAAAGTGTGCATACGCAAGCATAACATGAGGTATGGCTCCAGAATCAGATCACATGTAATTTGTTCTGTTGGATCTATTGCCAATACCAGAGCGCAGCATGCAGTTTATGAATGGCAGCAGAGTCCACTGAAGGAAAGATTATCGCTTACCACTTTTAGAAGCAAATATCATTATGCATAAAGCACAGTTTTCAAATAAAACTAATTTCACATAGATAAACAAAACACTTCTCTACAGAAAAGAAGAAAAACTGGAGAAAGGAACAATAGAATGAGAATAGCAATGCTCAAGTATGCAAAGCTACTGTGAAAGAATATTTCTTAAACCCATTAAATGCATATTTCTCCTCTAAGACAATACATATATAATTTTGCCTTTTATATGTATAGTTTCATAAGGGCAGGTTTATTCTGATCCTGCAACAGCACCACTGGAAAGTTTTATAAATAAGGAAGTAATATAAAACAGTCTTAGCAATACAAAATCACTCCAAATTAGAAAAGCAGTCTCAAACAAAAGCCAGCAAGCCACAGGCAAAGTAAACCAATGACTAACAGGAATTTTGACAATATCCTCAAGGCAAGAGAGATTAGATTCATACAGCTATCTTACTGACGAGCTTTTAATAAATGAAAAGTACCGAATGCTGCAACATTTTAAATGTTAATATTTCAAACAAATTACTTCAGAGGTTTCATTTTTAAAATCACAAATGATGTTTTGTACTGTGCCAAAAGTACACAATGTGTATAAGAACATTTAATCAAAACACCATGAAAACATCATCCTATGAAGTAATCAAAAAGGTGCTGGATAGAAGCAAATGAACTTTCATATAAGATCTACTATTAACTCTATTCTGGTAACATTTTACAAATGCAGTATTTTTATTTTAGTTGCCATACAACTGGTATAGAGTTGTGCAAGACTGAGTCAGCAAGATACTTATGTATTTTCATCACTGTACATATATATAAAGAGCTACTGGAAGTCAATGACACTAGCACCAGTCTTTAAGTTGCATAGCTGTGCAAGTACTTTAGCAAATCCAGATTCAAACACTAAAAAAATCCTGTCAGAGTTAGTATCTGCATTAGTAATAGTATTGGTAGATGGACTTTTATCTTAAAAAATGCTGTTTGCATCAGAACATCAATGGAGATTTTAATATCCAGTCTATCTTTATTTATAATCATGTATCTTTTAGAACTACAGCCAGAACAACTAAAACACCCACTGAGTTTCAGGAGGAAAAATCTGTAGCTATAAGAACCAGTTTATATATTTATACTGCAACAGGGGAGTGAAAACAGTTAGACATTAGCAAGGACTGAGGAAGAAAAACTGTCAACAACTGTAATTTTGCTCAACCTATATATGCACCAAATGGTAAAATGAAACCAGAATCTGACTAAAGGATAATTTCACAGAAACCTTGTTCCATTATTACAGCTACTTAAAATTTGCACATTAACAGCAATACTCTATCAAACTGTAAAGTACTTTTTACAGAAGATCCTGGAGAACCTGTGATGAATACACTTCCTGTATTCTTGCAAAGGGTTCATTTCCATCCAAGATCCTGATTAAGTCAAGCATAGCTTTTTAAATCAAAAGATAGGTTGATGACCTAGTTTCACTTTATAAATGGCATTTCTTGACAGATCATAACGTAACTTGTTTCATCTGGTTTTGCATCATTCTCATGAAATATAATTGAATCCCACTTTGACTAGAATTTTAATAAAAGCAAAAAAGTTAGTTCTGTAATAGACAAATTCTTGTGTAAAAGAAGCAAGTCATTATTTCATATTACTATCTTTTATTGCAATATTGCCAAGACAACAGCCAAGATAAACATCAGTTTATTTTGAGGCTGCATTAAATAATGTAGAGTAAATAATCCCATTATTGAACAAATACAAAAAGAAATGCCTTGCAATAAAAACAGTAATACCCGATATAAAATATTTATGCCCTATATTCTCTAGGTTCTATTAAGAAAAAAATTAGAATCAAATTCGTATCAAATTCAGACCACTTATTCGAGTAACCCCAGAAAAGGCAATGAGATTGATTGAACAGTGGAGTAGTTGTCCATACCCCAAGCACAGCTTCTATGCATTTCCTACTCAATATAATTGTTTCTTGGTGAGAAATACAGTGCACTGAGGCCAATATATGGCTCTGATGTCACTTTATTGTATACCTTTATTTTCTATTGCTCCAAGCATCTTTATACAGCATCACTCAAAAAAAACCCCAAAATCCCATTCATTTTCTTTTCTCATTATGAGACTTGACCTCCAAAACCTGTAGACAACTTTTATAAGCTTAATTTTAAAATGTTCTTTGATTGCAATGAAATACGTCTTTCTTGCTGATTAATACTTACCTTTTCCCTAAGACCTTGGTTAGATTTTGCATTTTATGTAAAAAAACAAACAAACAAAAAGAAACCCACAAAAAAACCCCAAAATAGTCAAGTACTCTAAGGGCAGAAAACCCCAGTAAAATTCATTTTCTTAGAAGGCTAACTTTTTAAATGAGGTGAATCTCAGTGAGGAAACCAATGTTTGCAAAAGCCTAATTTCCGAAACATTTCACTAAGCTTATGAAAATTTAAAGAGCTGCCAGCTAGAACGCTATCTTAATAACAGGTGATGTGACAAGGTGTTAGGAGATTTGCAGCTTTCCAGTCTTTCTTCAGATAATTTGCCTCTAACTATTCCGAATAAAAAAAAAAAAGCAGCTATGAGAGGTTTAATACTATCAAGTCCTATTATGCATCTCTTTTACAAACAGTTTCAACTGGCCACCCATCACCAGTCTTAATGAAGAGTATTTAAAACACTCGTCTGTTAAAAACACTGAGGTTATCTTGTGGGTGACCAGATTTACAATTTCATGTAAAAGTAAAGGTTCTGCTAAAAAGTGACTCTTCAATGTGATAGCTTATATGCAAAAAAAGTTTATACATGGGCATTTCAGAAAGTTTTAGGCAAATCAAATAAGGTTATTTTATTTCATTAATATCACATTAATGCTCTGAGATTGATGTATGCTAGCTCTTCAAGCAGGTGATTCTTCTGCAGCTTAATCTTTACTCCTGAAAACTAAAGCCACTTACATATGGTTTTACCATACTTTAAGCACATTAACTTCTCACTTTTCCATCTCATAGTGTCTCCTATGGAACAAGTGCTTAAAACATAATACATTTTAAAAAAAAAAAAAAAGAAAAAAGATTTCACTACTAAAGTAGCATTCAGGTGCTATAAGCTCAGAGCAATTTGTGTTAAAGACAAAAATGGTGGAAGTTACAACCACATAATACAATGGCCAGAAATATATTCAAATAAAGAAATTATATGTCTAACCATGAGGGGAGTGAGGTTTTGAATAGTGTTCTAATAGGAACTGTGGGGAATTAAAAAAAAAAAAATCTATTTTACAAAAAGGATTAAGTTAACTCTTTTGCTTCTACCATACTGATACTACAGACTCTGTAATCCTGGGTATTATTGTAAGGAGTACAGAACCAACTCATAGACATACAAATCCGTAAGAATTTGCCTAGTTCTCCTTTGGAAAAAAAAAAAGGATTAATCAATGATCCATTTTAAAAGTAATTTTATGTAGATGCCTGGCTGTACATTGGGGTATGGATGTGCAAAACAGTCTGTTGTGAAGTGGACGCTGGTACACAGTGTTTTACTTTAGTCCAGCGTTCAGAGGACCTGGTAACCCAACTGCTGTACCAAGAAATGAAAAACCTGCATTTAAAAAATTGTAGAACCATTACCTCATCCTCCCCTTTTCTGTTCCGAAGGAATTCCACAAAGGAAAAAGAGACAGGTAAGATGGCAAACTCCAAGTCAAACAGTTCTGTTTGTATTACAGCAACTGCATACTCCCCCAAAATGCAGTGGAGAGGCAAGAGCTCTCTGTGTGGATGGCCACAGCAGTAATCCCAGGATTTCCATGTTTAAAAGATCCAAGAGGTATGCAATAACTAATGGATCAGAGGCAAATCACCATCAAAATAAGGACTTTATATGATTGTTCACAGCATGAGGCTAATATTCCTTCCTGACAAATTCTAGAGGTTAGTTATTGTCCTGAAACTCATTATTTTATTGTACTTACCATGTATAACAAGTGCTATTACTAGTCAAAAATTATCTAGCACTATACTGATGAACTACAAGTCCGCCTGTAACAGAGAAATCCCATAAGCTGACTCAATCCACTGGGCCTAACTACTGCCAGGCTTTGAGATCAATTACCCAGCATTATGTAAGGCAGGGGCTGCAAAAGCCATTAGAGAAAGGCAATTTCTACATGAAGAGCAGTGAATTAGGGATGACATTTCAGCCCTTGCATTTGCCAGTTTATGTCAAGAAGATAACATTAATTACATTTGGATTTTGTTTTGTTTCACTGCAGTTGTCTCTGTTCTGTGTTCACTTTTATTGGTAGTAGGAAGACAGACACTGGTGTTTCACAGATCTTTGATTTCCCTCTTGTCTATTCAGCAGGGATGTAAAAAAGCCTTTTTGGATCTTAGACTACTAAGTCTAAGGCCACTAACTTAGACTAATATATTACAGTGACAGACTGCTGGTGAGGGCGAGATGTGTGACAAAGTGGAAATTAAAGAAGCTCCATTTTCACGTTGCCTACAACGGCAAGAAAAAGGCTAGGAATTTAGTAAGAGCATTTAATTTATGCCTTATTTTCAGCATGGGATAACATTTTAAAGCATATATCCCTAGCCTGACTCTGTGGTTAAATATCTACACCTGTGAAAAGTCCATGTTAGCCATAACTCCAAAGAAAATTAGCATTTAAATTCATCGTTTCTACTTCAAGGACTTGAGTCGAAGATCCAGAAGGTAAAAAGAAAGTTATTTACTTTTGTGTGCACTGGATCTGTCCCTTGGTTATCATGAGATAAACTAAATGTTAATTTCCTGCGCTGTTAGTACTGTCTATGTTTACCACTTCATGTAAGAGAACAGAGCAATGCAGCCAGCCCCGTCTGCATCTCATAATAAGTAGTCAGCTGCCTCCTCCTTCAGCACATTTCTATTTGATATATTGCCCCACTGTATTTTCAGAAACTTGTTCAAGATGCCCACTGTGCAGATAGCTTCCCGCAATCCATTTCAGTAAGATTTGCAGTGTGCTGAAACATGACTGAAAACTGGGATTTTTTTTTTTTTTTATCCTATTAAAAATTCAGTTGATGCAATCTGAAGTAAATAAAGAAGTACCAATAAGCTGCCCCTGGACATAAAATGCATACTACTTCTGTCAAGGCAAGAAACTGCCATCCAGGAGTGGATGCAAGCATAAGGATACCTATTCTGGAATTACACTAAGCATATTTCTATGACTTATCCTTAGGAAAAGTGAAGTTAGACAACACCTCCCCCCGACTATTGACAGCAAAGGTATCAGGGAAAGAAAAAGATGTTATTGCTACACTTTCTTCTTTACAAAACACTCAATAGAAAGATTCTACGAAAAACTCCCATTGTCAAGCTAGTCACCGTCTTTATCCTGCTTCCTAGTCCAGACACTGAGGATGTGACTCCTTTCCTCGTACACAGAGAAGGGAATTAAACTGAGTGTATTCAACAACCCATCCTTACAATACTGTTAACAATTGCTGGGAAGCAACGGTAAAATGAATGCATGCAGGCTACAAACAAAGTTTTTGTTCATATTCCGAAAAAACACTCCTGCGCCCCACCCACACCCGCGCCACCACAAACATATTAAGATTACTCTTTTCCTTCCCCTAATGCAAACTAAGATATCTTACCTGGTAGGCATCTAGCTGTTCATCAGTAAATATCGTTTGCTTATTACCCATCTTAAATGAGGAATTCTTCCTCTATGCAAATGCATCCCATTAGAAGTAGCTGGATTCCTCTGTATTGTAGGCATTTAGAGCACGTATACTCCGTGAATGTGCTGAAAAAATCCCAAAGCCTGCATTGAACTGGTTTTGACGGTATCTGTCCAATGAGGAAGGACACAGTATTGGGAAATCTTTACAAAGGCTTGACTTGAGTGTGCTGGGAAGGAAAGCGTTAAAATCACAGGCAGGTGTCGCCCAAAAACAGTGATGCCATTCTCCCCCTTTTCCAGATGCTTTTCTAAGAGGCATACAGAGCTTTTATAATGTAAAAACCGAGTAGCCAGTACTAGAAGAAATCAGCTCTCTACTGCCCCGGTGTCTCACTCGCTTGTTCACTCCCCGACTTCAGCGCACTCCTGGTCGGCACCTTCACGTTTTAGAGCCGCTTTGCGTCACCCGATGGCGCTCGGTAGCGCAGTCGTATTACACACACACAGAGCAAATGTAGTAACTAGAAAAATGGATTAGCAGAGTAAACGTTTCTGCAGCTGGTCTCCCCACAGATCCTAGTCAGTGCTTGGATCTGACCTGTACCATGCTGCCAATGTTAAATACAGCTGGATGGAGGCTCAAAGTGTCCAGAGCATCCCCACAATGTCACCAGATGCGGCGAGGGCTCCACAGTAAATGATTATGTCTACACTGTGGCTAAAACCAGCTATCAAGGGTGTGAGTTCACTACCAGAGGTGCCAAACTCCCAGGTATACCAGTGAATGCAAGTATTCCTTCTCATATTAAATAAATTTTTTAAAAACATCGGGAAGATTAAAGTAGCTTAAACAGACATTAATCTGACTCCTTTGGCTCAAGCAAGCACAGCTGGAAAGAAGAAAGTTACCACAGCCTAAAGCAAAGGTAGAAAGTACCACTAGAGGGCTCACAGTGTATTTTAAAGTAATACAACCCTATTTCCATATTTCCAGGAAAATTTAATAAAATAAAAAATAAAAGAGCATTTAAGAGATGCACACAGACAAAATGAATAAACTCAAACAAAATTATATTATCTAACATCTGCAGAGGATAAGCTCTTATAACAACAATAGGAAGAAGGCTGAGTGAGAAAGAATGGGAACAGGGAGGAAAGACCTGTTATGAGTAAGTTTCTTTGGACTGCTCACTTCCCACTTGTGCACACAGGAATGGGAGAGGGTTTATAAATACTTAACAAAATTCCTACCTTCTTTACCTACAGGTCTGCCAATGGTCACTATTTCCTCAGCAAGTTAGCATGTTTAATGAAAACACCTGGAGAATTATCTGGTGCTTTTTCCTACAGCTTCTAATGATCCTGACCTGATAACAGCATTGGATAATAAGAGTTCAATTTACCTTGGCATATAACAACAAAGTAAATGTATTGTATACATAGTAAAAATATCCTATGAAGTGTGTTGGATATGTAGTAAAAACATTTTACTTAGTGCTGAACAGTAGACTGTTCTAAAAGATGACTGACTTAGATTGTAACATTTAGCAACGCAGATTTGATTAACTGCAAACCAGCACTGCCTTGAGCTACAAAACCACAAGATATTACCATATATACAAAATAAATGGCTGGGGATGAGAATGCATTCAACAAGCCTTATTAGCGATAAGCAAACATCAGAATTTTAACAGTGAAAGAAATGGATTCTTCTAACAGAATAGCACAGTTTCAAAATAAGAAGGAAGAAGCTACAATAATAAGGACAATACAAACTCTGAATGACCTACCATCAGATCAAGAGTGCAGCAAGCATCTATTCAAATATCAGACAGTTGAATCGACTGTTTGTTACATGGCCAAACTGACCTCTGTTTTTCTAGCCAGTAGTGTTGTGGGTTTTTCCTTTTTCCCAAGGTACAGTGGCACTGGATTCTTGTCATGTTCAAAAAGATTCTCCACAAGCAAGTCAGAATGTAAAGAAGAAAAAACCCCAAACCTGCAAAATACAGTATTTCTATTTATTAAAAGTGCTCTTCTAACACACTTTTTTCAAATCAGAAAACAACAATCCATAAGGGCCCCTTGAAATTAAGAACTTTCACAGTTCTGACAGTTCTTACACATCCTTAACTCTGAATGAGCTTCATCATTGGCTTTAGTGGTTATGCATCTAATTAAGCATGTTTCATATCTATGATCTGGAGCTACTGAAATGCCACAGCTAGGAGCTATTCTCACTCAGACCAGACCAATACATAGTCAAGTGATTTGCATGAAATAGCACTCCTTTCACAGCCACTTAATTCAAGCTGCCTGTCTATGCAAATCAGATTAAATATAAATGGCCAAATTATCTTTAATGTCATTATACAGAAGTGAACTGACACCAGGGGTGCATTGGGCTCCGATTCTTTTAATCTTGCGATTCTGTATACTTAGCAGTATTACTACAGTGAAAAGACTGATATCTCATTTCTTCATTTTTACCTGCTTTTTATTCCTGGCTGTTTGGTCCCACTGTATCCTAGATGACACACATATCAGCTAGTCTCCACCTTTAGAATCAAAATAGTACCAATAAAAAGCAGAAGGGCTAAATGGGAAGCACCAACTAGATAAGACTTACTTGTGGTTACAAAGTAGGCCAGAGGTAGAGCTCCTGAGGTGCACAGACATACTCCTTTTTATGCCTTTGGGCCTGGCTTTCCACTTTACCCCCTCCACTTTTCTCTTGCATATTAGAAATGCTTTGGTTTCATGCTAATGTAGAGAAATTATGTAGGAAAACTGGTATGGCTAAAAGAGTTGATTGCTTTAAAAGAGTTAGAAGTTCTTTCTTTAAAAAAAAAGACTCAACTTACCATGGGAATGGCACCCACTGAGTATATGGACAGAAAATGAACTGTTTCTTCAATTCTTCTTTCCATACTCTGAAGAGTATTTTCAATTATTAAATAAAATTAAAATGCACAGAATTTTAAAAAGAGGATTCAAACACTGATTGTTGAGGGTTCCACTATACTAGCTAGTTCTTCTCAAGCATGCTATAGTGGTTCCTATATTTCATTGCATAATTATCTTGCTATACTAACTGGGTAAAATTTAAAGACGATATAATGCACAAACTCTTTTTGACTCCTTCTATCTGTTTGTATGTATCAAAGATCAAATAATTTTCCAGTTTGCTCTTTTTCACTTCTTCTGTTTGTATTTATCAAAGATTAGTTTAATTTGCCAGTTGGGTGTTAAGCAATACTTACTCCCAGCATAAGTTACTGCAACAAATCAATACTTTTCTATGTACACAGCAAGATCTGACCTTAATGTTATCAGTACCAGCCTTTCATCACACTTTACTGTATTTCAATTTCTCTAAACTGTTTGCCAAAGCTAGTGATTTTAAGCTATTTAGCAACACATAGCATATATCTTGCAATCAGTTGCAAATAAAGTTTATTAAGTAGTATAAGTATATATACAATAGTCTTGACATTACACTGCCCATTATACCAGAGAACATGGCTAAGTAGCCACTGTTCATCTGCTTTAAAAGTTTAATTCACGGAGCAGAAAATACACTATCAACCATGTAGACCAGATTTAATATTTTATAGCAAGATGGCTGTCAGTGCAATAGCTTAACACCCACCTAAGCCTGCAATCTGACCCCAGCTGCAGGGATACATTTCCACAGCCAGAGCTGAGGGAGTGGGCCAAACCATGCTATCCCTCCTGATCGCCTTCAGTGCAAAGTCGCCTGCTCCGAACTGTTGCTAGCCATGGCTGCTATACCAGGTGTCTTTGCTCTGATTTATTAGTAGAGGTGTAAGTTTAATAACCTCCAACAGACAGGTCATACTACCTTAAGTTGCCTCTGTAAATTATGCAGTGAGAATTTGCCTGTGGTTTAAGTATGAAAGCTCTTATTCCTCATCAAAGGAAGATCAAGATACTATGAACAGAGATCACTTTACCTGTTAATGAGAAGATCCACACAGAGTTTTAACAATCAAGTTGCATATCTACTGCTTTCACTGCTCAAGCTGGTTTGCTACAACTTTTTTTGAGTTTTCATATATAGACATAATTAAAAGTTATCCTTTTAATTGGGGAGAAAAGAACCTGCAAGATTTCATGCCCATTACACCAAATATTCAAGCAATTTGTCTCCTACACAGGTGTTTCCTTGCAGATTAGCTCTTCTTCAAGATTCACTCTGTTAGCAAAAAGAACAGTTTTGATCTAGAAGGGCTGCCTGTACATTTATTCTGTTGCTGCTTTCTGTAAGTTAAGTTAGGGTCCCCTTTTAGTGCAAGTATAAGTAACAATGATCACTACTTGCAATAATTACATGGGAAAAGTTGTATCCTCCACTGAAGCTGTGGAAATTCACCCCGAGTCTTTGGGGCTTGTTTTACTTACTTGAACCCTATTCACAATTCTGTTTGCTTACAGGTCAATGAGGAATAACAATGTTCACCTACAACAGGTGCTGTGGAGATAAAATAATTAAAATGCCTGTGAGTCCCTTAAATGAAAAACGCTACAGAGCTACAAAACATTACCATTGTGATATGCTTCACCAACTGTCACAACTTGCCTTTTATTTAATAGTTATTGGAAACTATAAATAAAAGATTAACTGTAAATACACAGTTACAAAACAGAAATCCTAAAATGAGTGAAAATGACGGTTTGATGCTACTGCAGTAGATAGAAAAGTTGGTTTTCCAACACATGACCCATAGGATCCTTATACCCCACTAAATTTGTCTGGAAGTGCTAGCCTATAAGAGAAAGCTTCATGGGACTGAGCCCTGTCTCATGAATGAATAACAGAACTTGAGAAAGATGCAAAACTCGCGGCCCTCAAACCAATGAGAGATGCTGACTATCTGACTAAATGCACTTGTTATGATGAGCAGGGACTTTCTGTAGAGAGTTTTTAATGCTAAAGAAGACAAACAGAAAGAAAACCTTGTGCCAAATTTGTTGGCTTTATGATCTTATTCATCGAGC